TCACCCTACTATCAGGCGATAGATAATAACCGGTCTCTAAGTCTGAGGATCACATACAGGTACCTCTGTAAAATATATTAAGTGCAAGTGAATAAACCATTGGACACCGGTTTTATATATGAGGAAAATTCCTTTAAAATTTAAATACTGAAAGTCTCGAAAAGGGGTTTGGCGACCTTTAAACGAAAACAGAAACTCGCAAACAAGAGAGTGAACACGCCTAGTGTGCTGATACAAAACGCCGACGCTCAGTTGAGTCCATCAGTTGTGTTCTGTAGCTCAGGGACCTCTCTCTTACTCGAACTTGAAACGCTTGAGGATATTTTTGCTAGCAGCTCTCGCAATAGATGATTTGTTCCAAAATGTGTATAGTTGAGTGCTCTGGAAATTGCTCTATACAAAAGAGGGTATCTATTGCTCTACAGTTTATTACCAACGCGCTGATCATCACGGAATTTCTTTTGTATAGACGCCAAATTTACTTTCAATTGAGAATACTTACAAGTACTGTTTGTTGCAATAGTTGTAATTTATTCCATAACGAAAAAACTGCTGTTTACCTGAATATTGTAGACGATAATGAAAACTTAGTAAAAGGTTATCAATAAAATATTTTCTCCACAGTATGGAAATTTGTGTTGGCCTACAACATCAGTGAGAGGAAATGGAATTTGTAAAAACCGTATTAATACTAATTTAATTCTGATGATGGAGGCGGCGTGGCCGAGTGGTTAGGGTGCTGGACTTGTATTCCGGTGTCCCGGGTTCAAGTCCTCCACCCTGCTACTCACTGGATTTGTTCTCGGATGCCCCTAGTTCAACTCCTCGGCCGCGTTCTGTAAATAGCCCACTGGTCTGCCTCCTGCCAGTGGGGATTTTTAAGCTCTTAGTCTATATTGTGGCTGAAAAGCCCCTAAGGGGGAGCCTCAATTAACGTATAACGTATATATATATGATGACCCCCTCCCAGATTTTCGAAACGTCAGTCGCCACCACCAGCAACAGTACTAGTTCTTCTTAAGCCGATCACAATCACCCGGACGGTTGCATTTACCCTTTCGCATAATAGTAAAAAAGAGTTTTAAAATTTCATTTCAGAAGTTTACAATTATAAACACTAGGCTTTACTAAACACACCCGTGCTTTCGTAGAATTGAACTGATATGTTCTTTTATTCTAACGAAGAACGGATGAAAGAAGTGTTCATAAGGGTTCTATGATAGCCTGAAAACTGTCACTAATTTTGACACACCCGATCTATATCGAGAATTCGTTTACGAATGTACTTTCGGCGTGGCTAAAGAATCTTCAATTAATATACAAGTTTTTTAAGGGATGCAAATTAATGAAAACAAGCAAAGAAAAGTTAAGCGGAACGAAAAGAAATAAAAATTATAGTAAATTATTCAAAATTGTTCCTCGGTGGCATGTTGACTAAATGGACGATTAGATTGAGGCCTCGAGATACTGTATATCTTTTTATTCCAAGTTCTCGGTGATCTATGGCTTCTTCAAGGAATATAAAAGAAAACATTGCGTGATATAAAAGCGATTTAGGTGATAGAAATAATAAGAATATATAATAAGTTAATGGGTTGTCTAAATTTGGCGATGGTAATTATATTAACACACCGAAACATAGAGAATCGCTGATAAATGTTTACGAGAACAAAATATTTAAGCAGTTTAGTTTGAATAAATTAAGTATCTCTGAGTTCAATATATTCTTCCTGGCAATTAAGTCGGACCTACACTTTAGGATGAAAAGCCCTTCGAATAATCCTAAGTTGACGGGTTCGTTTCTTTGTTGATTATTTAAATATCAATGCAATGGTTTCTACTTGTCCTTTGTTTGGCACGTTAAAATGTGTTTTTATTTATTTATTAATTTTTTTTATCTTTTTACTTTAACAATAACGAATTGTTATTGTTAAACTTTTCTCTTAAGCGATCATGTTCAAATCGTGTAGTGCTTACATCCATTCAAAACATGAATGAAGCGGAGATTGTAGGAAATTATTTATGTGGGAATGCGGATGCAACGGACAGAGAATAACAGGTGGAAAAATGAGTGACAAAACAACTATATTATTCAGCACGCAGCAAATATTCTATCAGTAAGAGAATTGCTCTCAACACTGCTAAACGTTTCTCCTTTACAACGAAAACAATTCTTTTTTTTTTTTACCTAGTTTTGATGACATGGGACTTTTTCCCCTCTTATTTTTTGTCTCCCTGGTTTTTTCCCTTGGACATATTTTATCCTGCCCGAATGGTAAGTTTACATTTTTAGCTTCGAGAAATTGTTTATATTACCTGAATTTCTTAATCGTACCTATGTTTAATATATATTCAAAAGCTTACTAAAAAACTATATGCAATGCCTTCAAACCCACTGAAAAATTGAAATACTGTTTTTTTAAAATAATTTGGAAAATATTTTCTCAATTTTGTTTGTCCTTACTTACAACACTCTAGATAAGAAAGTATCATACTCTTCACCGGTCAGTTTACTCTATTTTCGCTAATTTTGTAAAGCTAGG